CTCCAGCCCCCTCCCGCCTGCCTCCCTCACCAGCTTCCTCTGGGCGCGGTGCCAGGCCTCCTTGATCTCCTTCCTGCGCTTCTCATGTTCAAGCCGCCGCAGGGTCAGGGGCTGGGGCAAGAGGGGCTGTGAGCGGGTACCCTGGAGACACCCCCGCCCAGCCCGCCCTCTCAGGCGCCACCCACCTGCATGAAGGTCTGGGTCTGCAAGGTGCCCACGGCCTGCACCATGCCATGGCCGAACTCCAGGTCCTGCTCCAGGGCCAGCGAGTAGATGGACAGCAGCGGCATGTGCGGCTGTGGGTGGGGGCAGGGTCACTGGGTGGGGAGGGATGGAGGCAGGGCGGCCCCAGCACCCCAGCCACCACCTCCCTGGTCCCTGCGGCCACCCCCATTAGTATAGAGGCGAAGCCCCTGGCCTTGGCCCCTGGGCCCTTAAAATGGGGCTGAGACTCACAACCGGACCTAGGGACCCCCACCCCATGCCCACGGGACCCCCACCTCCTGCATGACGCTCTGTCTGCAGTTGTGAACGATCTTCTGCAGGCCCTTGGCAAACTCCATCTCTGTAGGCCAGGGAGGGGTGTGAGAAGCCGGGACAAGGCCTTCCCAGCTCACCCAGAAGCCCCCCTCCAGGCCCGCCCTGCTGGGACCCCCAGCTCTCACCCAGCGTGGTCCGCTTCTCCAGGTAGCTGATGAGGTCCTTCATGTACTTCGCCATGTTCTTAGCATACAGCAGTGCGGCGTCCACGCCCCCCTCACAGCGCTGCAGCAGCACGTCCACTTCCTCAGCGGGCAGGCAGCCTGCAGGGGACCAGGCCTGCTCAGCCTGGCCCAACCCCGCAACTGCCCACCCCTCAAATGCCTGCCTGCCGCTGGGTGGGGCTTACCAGCGTCGCATTCCTCAAGGCCGGGAGGGGTGCCCTCACTCCCCGGTCCATACAGGCTTTCCATGGACTGTAGGATGGAGACGCAGGTGAGACCAGCCACTGGGGGGGATGGCTGCCACCCACTACCCTGGACACACAGGGAGACCAAGGTGCGCAGGGGAAGCAGGGTGACTGGCCAAGCCCTGCAGACCTGAACCCAGCGGGCCTCCAGAACCTGGACACAGGTGGTCCCGGCCCACCCCACTCACCTGGCTCGAGTCCCCGGGAGGCACTGCGAGGAGGGTGCTGCTGTCCACTTCACCCATGAGGAACTCGGACACTCTGCAGGGGCGGGGGGGGTCACCATCGAGGGATACCAGGGCCCCCCACACTCCCTCACTCCGCCCCGCAGGCGCCCGAGCTCACGTGCTGCTGAAGGCCACCGCGATCGTCTCCAGGGCCTTCTCAAACTCCTGTTTCTCCAGATCATTGTTACACTCGTAATGGAAGGCTGGGGGGCAGACACAAGGACAAGGAAGTAGGCCCACCCTGGGAGGTGACCGTCCCTGCAAGAACTGATGGGAACCCTTAACCCAGGGGGAGCAGCACGGAGCTGCTGTGCCTATCAAACTCCTATGCATCCTTCAAAACCCACTTTAAACATGCCCACCTCCAGGACGCCCTTCCAGGCAAAGAGCCCTGTTCCGGCAGGCTGACCTTTGACTTTGGCAATGAGGGTGCCGGCTGCTGTGAGCGTCTCCACGGTGTTCAGCAGTGGGTACTTGGAGATGACCTGACGCATGACACGCAGGGCCTCACCCAGGCACTCGTGGGCCAGTGGGCGGCGAGCCTCAAGGAGGTCTGCTGGGCAGAGTGGGCGTGAGCAGTGGGGTGGGGCCCAGTTCCAGGGAAGGTCTGTCCACCTCCTCCCTCCTCTTTGGAGCTCCTGTTCCCAGATGGGGAAACTGAGGCAGAGGTGGCAGAGGGCAGATGCCTGGGGCTCACTTTGAGACCTCAGATAGGGCAGTGTCCCTCTCTGGGCTGCCAGCCAGGCCATCAAAGGCCAGACCTTGGCCTTGGTACTCTGCTGCTCAGAACGCTCTTCCTGTCCCTCCAGAAAGCAAACTGCCTCTTGTCCTGCAGCCCCCTTCTCCATGCAGCCCACCAGGCAAACCCTCCCTTGCCCTAACCCCTCAGGACTGCTCAAAGCCTTGTCTAGGTCTCTCTCTCTGCCATTCCTGCCTGGGTGAGGAAACTGAGGCATAGTGATGGGAAGCCATTTCTCAACAATCACACAGCTTTTTCCTCTACACTAGCTTGGAAGGCGTGAGAATGTCAGGCAGAGGGATCCTGCCTGGCTTTATCTCCAGGGCAGGAGGGAGCCACAGAAGGTGTTAGAGCAGAGGAGGGTGGTGGTCAGCTCTGACTGTTGGAACCTGGCTTTCACTGCCCTCGTCAGCCAGGCACAGTGGCTCACACCTGCGGCCCCAGCACTTTGGGAGGCTGAGGCAGGAGGATGACTTGACCCCAGGAATTCAAGACCAGCCTGAGCAATATAGTGAGACCCTGTGTCTGTAACAAATAAAATAAAGAACAAAAAGGTAAATGCCCTCATCAAACTTTCTCAACTGGAAGAAGAAAAAAGCAGAGAGGGCCAAGTGCGGTAATCCCACCACTTTCGGAGGCCGAGGTGGGCAGATCACTTGAGGTCAGGAGTTCAAGGCCAGCCAGGCCAACATAGTAAAACCCTGCCTCTACTAAAAATGGAACAATTAGCTGGGGTAGGTGGTGCTCCCCTCTAATCCTGGCTACTGGGGAGGCTGAGGCAGGAGTATCGCTTGAACCCGGGAGGCGGAGGTTGCAGTGAGCCGAGATCGCGCCCCTGCACTCCAGCCTGGGCGACAATAAAAGAGAAAAAAAAAAAAAAAAAAAAAAGAAACCGAGCGTGCGGGAGAACTAACCAGAGCCAGGCACACACCGCGGGGCGGAAGCAAACCCGCGGGATTCGCGGGAGACACTGAGGCCAGCGGGAGGGACAGCTCTGACGCCTGACTGTGCCGCTCGGAGGGCGCTCCAAATACAGCGAGTGCCCGACTTACGAACACGACTGGGTCCGACAGACCGGTCGTAACGCGGTTTGGTCGTAAGTTGAGTAGGCTATATGCACGCGGAGATGGCAGTGCTGCCCGAGGCTGGTCCGCACTGGCGCACGCCCAGCTGGGCAACGTTTGCGCTGCCAGACGCGGAGCAGTCGTGGCTAGCGATGGTGGTCGTAAAGTCGAATGGTCGTAAGTTGCATAGGTCGTAAGTCGAAGGATACCTGTGCTAAGTGGAACCTGCTCCATCCCTTCCCGCACCGAAGACCCCGGCGGGATGTCACCTCCGGGAGGAGGCCGCCCGGACCGCCGCCTCGCCTCGGACCCCCGGCCGGAGCCCGTCTTTGCTGCGGGAGGCGAGGCGGACTCCGGGCACGGGACTGCGCTCCAGGCACGTGGGGAAGCCAGTTAGGAGGACCCGGCCACGCTCCTTCCCGGGACCTTCCCGCCGGGCGCCCGCCTCCCCCCACGCGTGCGCAGCCGGGGCCTGGACCCCCGCGGTCCCTGTGCACCCCCAATCCGGGAAGCCGAAGGCCAGCGCGACCCCCGCGCAGCGCGGGGATGCCCAGGTGGGCGCGGCCAGGGCCGGCGCGCGGCAGCCGCTGCTCCCCAACCGCGGGCAGCAAACGGCCCGAGCGCCACGTGCTCCCGGACGGGCTGGGGGACCCCGCGCCCCGCACCTGTCCCGTCACCTCGGGGGCCCGCCCTGCAGCGCACGGGGCCCTCGTCGAGTGCCGGGTTCGCAGTCCCGCAGATACACATGGCGCGGCCGTCGGGGCGCGGAGACCGCGAGCGCGTGGGGCCGGCAGCTGACCGATGGGGGTCTCCGGTGGCCGCTAGAGGCCAAACCGGCTCCGGCCGGTCTGGAGGCCCCGCCCCCGCGAGGGAAACCCCGCCCCGAAGTCCCCTTGCCCGCCGCGGCCCGGGCGGCGCGTATCCAAGTGGGGAGAGTTGAGGACGGGTTGGGAAACTGAGGCCCAGACCCGAAGCCCAGGAATGAGGCGGCCCCGGAAGACTCGGGGAGGCCCCAGGGTATCCACCTCGCCCATGTAGGCCATGCACGGGGGTCCCCAAGCTGCGGGGTGGACCCCACAACCATCACTGCAGGCAGAGGATGTCTGGTCATGTCTCAGCAGCTCTGCGGGGGGGCTATCATGGTGGCCCCATTTTATGGACAAGTCAGCTGAGACCTAGAAAGGGAAGGGTCTCGCCAGGGTCTCAGCAGCTAAGAGGCACCTGGGCTGGAGCCCTCATCCTAGTGGCAGGGCCTCCTCCCGCCTGGGGCAGCCCCAAGGCGGCAGAAGGTGCCCCCAGCCGGGCGCGGTGGCTCAGGCCTGTTATTCCAGCACTTTGGGAGGTAGCTCCCAGAGAGCTTTAGCTCCGGAGTTCTAGACCAGCCTGTCCATCAGGAGACCCCGACCCTACAAAAAATACAAAAATTGGGCGGGTACAGTGGCTCATGCTTGTAATCCTAGCACTTTGGGAGGCCTAGGTAGGTGGATCACTTGAGGTCAGGAGTTCAAGACCAGCCTGGCCAACATGGTGAAACCCTGTCTCTACTAAAAAAAAAAAAATTAGGCTGGCACAGTGGCTCACGCCTGTAATCCCAGCACTTTGGGAGACGGAGGGAGGCGGATCACAAGGTCAGGAGTTTGAGACCAGCCTGGCCAATATTGTGAAACCCGCCTCTACTAAATATACAAAAATGAGCCAGGCGTGGCGGCAGGTGCCTGTAGCCACAGCTACTCGGGAGGCTGAGGCAGAAGAACGGCTTGAACCAGGGAGGTGGAGATTGCAGTGAGCTGAGATCATGCCACTGCACTCCAGCCTGGGTGACAGAGCGAGACTCCGTCTCAAAAAAAAAATTAGCCGGGTGCAGTGGCTCACACCTGTAGTCCCAGCTACTCAGGAGGCAGAGATGGGAGGATGGCTTAAGCCCAGGAGGGTTCAAGGCCACATTCAGCCTCAATCACACCACGGCACTCCAGCCTGGGCAACACAGCAAGATCCTGTATCAAAACAAAGAAAGTGTCCCAGCCTGGGTGGCCCCGTTCGGACCTCCTGCAGGAGCCTGGGAGCTGAGCCCCGCCCAGGCCAGGCCTCCAAGGAAGCGCCAGGATCGGAAAGGAACTGAGATTAGGGTTTCCCCAGGAAACCAGCCTAGCCCCCGCCTCTGGGACCAGATAACCCCGGGGGCTCCCACTCCTCCCAACAGCGACCAGGCCTTCCCCAACTAGTGCCCTGAAGGCACAGAGGCTACTCAGCCACCTGCGGTCCAATCCTGGCTCTGCCCTGCCCAGGCTGGGTGAGCCGAGGGTCAGGGCCTCACAAGAGACTCAGTTTCATCATCTGTAAAATGGGCAGCCGCAGGGAGCGGATCAGAGCGCCTGGCAGGACCCTGGCACTGTGGTTTCTGGGAGGAGCTGGGACTGAAGGCAGCACATGAGGTGCCCGCTGGGCTGCCAGGGACAAACAGGAAGCAGATGAAAATAACTCGGCAGGAAGCAGAGCTGTCAGCGGCCGCGTGGAAGAGAAAACGGAACTGCCGGCCTGCAGGCCACTGAGTCCCGGCACCTCCAGCCGCCTGACGCCCCCATCCTTCCCCTCGCTGCGGCTCCTGACCCTCTCTCCACCCAGACCTCAGCCAACCCCCCGTTTGCTTCATTCTAAAACGCAGATCTGCCCCCACGTGTCCTGTGCTCTAACACCTTCTATGGCTCCACATTGCCCTTCTGCCTGCCATCATGCCTTCATCCTACACCAGCGCACCCACACCTCGGCCCCCAAATGCATTCTCTGTTTCCATGTTTCTGAGCCTGTGGATGGGACATTTCCTCTGCTTTTCCCTCCTAATTGCCATCAGATACTTAAAAAAAAAAATCAATTGGGCAGCCTCCTGAGACAGAGTACACTTAGAAACACCCCTACCAAACTCCTACACATCTCTCAGAGCCTTAGCTGTCATGGCCGCTTCCACACAGCACTCCCTGTCATTCCCTTCTGAACCTCCCCAAATCTCTCCCTCCATCCTCTCTTGGGTTGAAGACATCCGTGTCTGGCTCTGTCTCCCACCCAGGCCTCAGTGTCCCCGTGGCTCTCACCGTCACGCAACACACACTCCTTGAGTTTCTCAAGGCCCTCGGCGAAGCGGGCCACATCCGCCAGCAGGTGGGAGATGTCCTCCACGGCATCAGGGCCGATGCCCTCAGAGGGCAGCTCGCCTGGGCTGGGAGCTGTCAGTGGGCTCCGGTGGCTCCGGCCCAGTGTCCAGGAGGCGGCACCAGACAGCGGGAAGCCAGCTGCGCTGGCGTGGCGGCTCAGGCTGGTGGGCCGCTTGAGGGTGCCCGTGGCCTTGACGCCAGAGGACCCGGCAGGCGGCTCCAGGCTCGGTCCAGGGATCGCAGTATCAGCCCCATCCTTCCTGGGCAGCTCCTTGGGCAGGTCCGAGGGGAGCTCGTTAAAGGGATTATCCAGCCTGGACACTGCCTCAGTTTCCCCAGAAATGAAGTGGGGCTGTGGAGGGCCATAATCACCCTGATCCCACAGGGGTCAAAGGCCAGAGGTCACAGGCCCGAGATTTGGTAGTGTACCCCCCCACCTGTTACCCAACATCCTCTTCCCTCGAGCTTTCACAAACAACGGTCCCTGCCCAAACCACAGCCGGGGCGGGGCCTGCGGGGAGGCGCGGGAGGGGGGTCCCCACTTCCTGGTGGGGGTGGGGATGGTCTTCAGCCCTTCTAGCTCTAGCCCCCCTCAAACTTCCATAACGCGGCCAAAGACACCTGTGACTATGTCTGTACCCTAGAGGTCTGTAGTCCCCTGGACCCTATGGATAGCCCCAGGCAGTGTAGACACCCCCAGTCTCCAAGCTTTGTAGACACCCCAGGCCTGGAGACGCTCCCAGTACCTGCTGGACCCCGTGAGGATCTGCTGCCCGGGAAACCTTCAACCCAACGGCCAGGCCACAGCCCTCCCACCTCCACAGCTCCTGGAGCCCCCAGGCTGCCTAAGCCCTCGACCTGCAGCGACCCAAACCCAGCTTTGCCCCACCCTGGCCCCCTCCCTTCCCGCTCCCTGGGCCCCGCAGCCAGCCCTGGACAGAGCGGGGGGAGGCGGCCGCCACTCCCAGGGTCCCTACCGTCAGCTGAACGCCAGGGTCCCGGTCTCTCTGCCGTCCCACCCGGCAGGGGCTGTAGCTGGCACGGGCCCCCAGCCGCCGCCCCAGCATGGGCCCCGAGCACAGGGCGGGTCCCTGTGCCCCTGCGGCCCGTGTCAGCCCCAGGTCTCCGCCCCGGCTCCACTCACCCCTGAGGGCTGCGGGCTGGGGCTTCCCGCGCGGTTCTTTTTGGAGATAGAAGGGGTTTTCATGAGCTCCCGTTTCTTCCTGGAGAACATGACGGGGCCCGGGCCGGGAGCCCGAGGGGCCCGGCTGGGTGGGACGGGCCGGGGGTCTCAGCGCCGCAGCTCCCGGCGCCGGCCGCCTGGGGACCACATTGTCACCGGCCACCCCCGCCCCAGCTGTCAGGCCCACGTGACGGGCCCTCCCCCCGACAGGAAAACGCTTCGGGGAGGCGGCGGCGCGACCTCGCCCCCGACCCTTCCCGGCCTCGGCCTGCGGCTCCGCGGAGTGGGCGCGAAGGTGAGGTCGCAGGCCCCGCCCCAGCCCCTGGCCGCGCCCCCCGCTTCCGCTTTCGGAGCTCAGAGCCGCGCCGCTCGCGGGGTGGGACGGGGCGCCCCTGGCTGGCGCTGGGGCTCTCGGCGGGCACAGGGTGGCCGACTGCAGGGTGCTGACCGTCACTCACGGACGCGGCTGGGCGTGCACAGACACGTGTGCATGATGACACACCGACCTCCACATGCGCTCGGGCGCCACCAAGCTCCCGGAGCCTCCCCTCAGACCCCAGACACACGCACGGGCCGAAGTGCGCCCCTGCAGCCCCCTTTTTCCTGAAGGCGAACCCCAGCTCCACCTCCTCCAAGCACCTTCCCTGCAGACCCTAGGGCATGGCAGAGACCCGGCAGGGCGGGGCAGAGTAGGGTCACCCCATCACCCCTCCTGCAGCCCCATGAGGTGGGCCGGATCAGGACAGGTGGGGAAACTGAGGCCCAGAACCAAAGCCCTGGGGGCAAGGAAGTCCAGGAAGAGTCAGAACAGTCCAGGTTACCTGGCCCTGTCCTTGTGGGCCCCAGCCCCCACATCCACCCACTGCTGGGCTGCCTCCACGGGGGTCCCCAAGCTGTGGTGTGGACCCCACCATCATCAGAATATGCTGAGGACATCTGGTTATGTCTTGGCAGCCTTGTGGGCCGTATCAGGTTGCCCCAGGCCTCAGCGCTGCCCTGAGCTAAGGTCCCCGCCCCTGCCTCCCATGCTGCATTCCAGGGACTCCGGACCACCGGACGTGCTGGGCAGCAGGACGCAGGCACCCGTGGCTGATGACAGCCTGAGGCAGCACTGACCAAGAACAGGGGCATCTGCAGGCGGAGAGATCCCAGCCTCCTACCTTCCCCCACCCCCTACCGCGTAAACTCTCCCCCCTTCCCAGGTCTCCCTGATGTCCCCTTTCAGAACCCCACCCCCAATCCCAAAACCCCAACCTCTCTCCTTTCCCAAACTCCATTCCCACCTACCTCGGGTGGGAGAGGCGGGTCTCCCAGGCACAGGACATGAAGGTCACAGCCCCCTGCTCCAAGTCCGGCTCTCCAGGTCCGGGTCCAAGCGCAAACCCAGCCCAGCAGACCCTTGAGAACTCTTTGCCCCTGACTCATGGCTCTGAGGGCCAGGATCAGGGGGTGAGGGGCAGCTGGATGTCAGGCGGGCTTCTGGCACGGCCAGGGGGCCTGTGCTCCAGGACACCGGGCTCCTCTAAGCTTCCCAGGACATTCCTGAGCCCTGACCTCATCCCCACTTCATGGCTAGGCACTTACAGGTACCGCCCTTAGGCGCCAGCCCCACGTGGCCATGCTGGGACGCGGGGACCAGGCTTTTATGAGGCCCGAACTTGCATCCCCAACTCCCGGGCTGGCCACAGAGGCATTTACAGCTGGGGGTCCGGTCAGCTGTAGACACGCTCACACCTGTGTCCTATGAATGGCCACTTGGCACATACGTGCACACTCAGCGTGCAAGGGACCATATCCAGACACACATGCAGGCAGCTGCGTGCGGCCTGGCGCAAGGAGACACATGCACACGGTTTCACCTTCACGGCTTCTCCACAGCCTTCTCTTTATTTTCTCCAGGGCACCAGCCCCTCTGGCAGCTTGAGTCCAGGCTCCTGGGCACTCTACCCTGCCCTTGCTAGTCCCGGGGCCTCCCCGCGGCCCCGAAGGGGAAGGAGGCTCAGAGCACAGTCTCCAGGGTGCTGGGGTCATGGAGGAACTGGCTGATACATTTGGGGCGAGGCATGCCTGGCACAGGGTCCACTCCCACTCGTGCCTCCTCCTGCTCCTCCGCGTCCTCTTCCCCATCCTTCCCTTGGTCCTTGGAGAAGTACAAGAATACCTGGCAGTGGGCGGCCCAGAAGGGGGACACAAGGGGCGGTCAGCCCACAGGCCGCGTGGCTCCCAGCCTGCCTCCCCCAGCCCCACCCCAGCGCCGTGATCACCTCCTCCAGCATGGTCTGGCTCACGGAAAAGTCCTCCACGCTGTGCTCTGCACCGTGCGCCGCCAGCGCTCCAAAGACTCGCCCCAGGGCGCAGCGCCCTCCCCGCGGCAGCTGGAAGCGCAGGCGGCCTCCGTGTGCCTCACGCAGCTCAGCTCCAGGGAACTCCGCCGCCACGAAGGCCGCAGCCGACTGGGACTTCTCGGCGGGCACCCGCAGGGTCAGCGTGTGTCCAGCCGCGAATCTGCAGTGAGTGGGACCAGGGCTACTAGATGGGGCCTTTCCCAGGTCCTAGCTCCGCTCACCCTGCAGCCCCTACTACTTTCTGGCCCCGCCCCATGCTAGTACCTGCGCTAGCCATCGAGGGATCCTCTCACCTCAGTCCCCTGCGCAGCTGAGACCACAGGCAAACACCACCACTCCAGCTAATTTTTCTTTTTTTTTTTTTT